GGAGTATTCCTCTTCTGGCTCGCGTTTTGAAGCCGCACTATCTGTATCACTGTCTTCAACCACTAACCCTGATAAAAAAATAGAATTTACACATTTGTTATTTTGCCTGCCCTGACTTTTGAAGCCTGAATTCAATTGTGTATGGGGTAACTGCGTTTTTTATATGGGGCTTCCATTTTAAAATATACATATATTGAAACGTAAGGAGAACTCGCAATAACATTAGTAACATGCCAATAGAGTATCAATGCGATAGATAAGGTACATCTGTATATATAATAAATCATATATCTTAAGCCTCTACGTGTTAAAGTTAATTTTGTTTTTAACTATAGTAATGAATGTACGGAGAAATTGTGACCAATTTGTGTTTCACAGTCACAAAAATTTCTGTATTTTTTTTATTAAATAAAAATGTCTCATAATCAAAACTAATATATTAAACTGTTCAGAGTATAACCATTAATATTTAGATTGTCTTTGTTTTATACATGTAGGACATATTTTAATAAAAAATATTTACATAACACAGACTTTTCGTACGCTTTTCAGCAGTCATAGTCTGCTGAGACTGTCATAATGAAATGACAGATAACATTTTATGGATCTGGCACGTTGTGCATTAGCCAGCGTCAAGTATAGGACTTTTATAATTCGTGCTTGTCTTTTAGAAATTCCACAGTGGCCTTTATGTACGGTTTAAGCACTCGCCCGGTACCGCACAACCCTCCCAAAGGCCGAGAACAAATTTAAATTAAATTAAAACTTGCCCTCGAACCGGGAATCGAACGCCCCTCACTAGCTGCCACTTAATAAGGCCCGCGGGGTTGGGGGCCCCCATTGGAATTATGATTATGAAATGTTGCCATTACTCTGGTAATCGATATACCGCTGGATTTTATTATTTCATAAATAATGTAATAAATTACAAAATTAGTGTCAAATAAAATCATTTAATTAATACCACTGTACCAATATTTAATAAAGCAATATTAAGCAATGTTGATTAATTAATTAGAGAAAACACATACCAGCATGCCATTTGGTTCTCCAAAGCTCAGATCCAATTATGTATGGTAGGGGTCGGTCTGCGTACACATTCTTCGGTTTTAAAACAAGTCTGAAATTGTGATTCATAAAGAAATTTTTAAAACTAACACCCCGTTGCGCACGGGTAGCCAACCAAATAACTCGCTTAAAAACTAGCAATTTTATTATACAGTTTTCTCTAACATAATTAATATTAAGTCCCGTAACCATGGAACTGATCTTTTTCTTATGTTACTTTTCTTTAAATGCATTCCAATATTTTATTACACGAAACGACGTCAAATATAAATTAATAGAACTTTAAATATTTGCTCATTATACATCTTGAAACAAAGAATGTCTTTCACAAGAATTCTTAGTAAGAATGAAATAATTTTGCTGTCTGTGGAAATGGAGGTGAGACCAGCCATTGAATAAACTATATGTGTGTCCAAAAAGCAAGAAAAAAATAAGTCGAAATTCAATAATAAGAAAATTATAAAATAATAAAAATATTTTTATTGGTTCGTTTATCCTTACTCATATATCTCAGGAAACACCGCTTTGAATTAAATCCGGTTATGTTAGATAGTCCAATTATCGAGGAAGATTAGGTTGGTTGGGCTCTAACGTCAGGCCACGACAAGGCCAAACAGTACAAACGCACGTGAAACCGGGTATAGCTAGTATATAATGAATATGACACAAAGTAAAAAAGAGATACATTTTTTTTTTTAATTTTAAGTAAAATCGCGTAAAACCTTACCTTTCTTCCTCTTCATCATCAGAAGAATCGGAGTCTAAAATTTGTACTACTTCGTGCATTGATTCAAAAATCTGTAAAGACTTCTTTAATTTCTCTAATTCTTCATTTGGATCTATTATTTTAGGAGGTTCCTGTAACAAGAAAACCTACTATACAAGTGAAAATTATAGAGGTTTTTTAAATCGTCTTCCTCATATACTTACGCAAGTTTAGTTTCGAAAGCAAACCAAGTTTATGCCTATTTATATCGCCGGTACTGTAACTCCCGATAGCAATTGCGACCCCAACTACGTTTTTTTAGAGTTTTTGTACCGCAATATCAAGGTTGCGACATCAGCGCTTCGGATTGAGAGAACTACATTGCAATATTATACAATAACTTCGGAATCGCCTATATAAAATTGCAGATTACTTAAGTGATCGTAATTTATCAGTTCAATAAGGGCATTAAAGATACATACACATCAGAATGAGCCCATTAGACTAAAATTGGGCTAGCTGATGGCGACGTGTATCTCGTTCGTATATAATATTAAATTTCTCATGTAAATAACAAATAATTTTTGTAATGAGAAATAAAGTTCTTTAAACATTAATTTATGTGGTAAAGCCCTATTTAGATTGTATAAAGGTTTTATAAAATCAAGAAATTTTTAGTGGACACAGGTCATATGGGCAAGAGACTCAAGTAAACGGCACCCAAATGTTACAATGGTCAACGACTCACGAATGTGTCACCATAATTGAAGGAAATGATACACATTGTCATGAAGTAGGGTTTAAGGAAAGTTATTTTGGAATCATGGTCTAAGATGGTTCCACATTTAAATTTGTTGAACTACCACTAACAATAACTCACCTTTGGTGGTTCCACTAATGGTGCAATATCAACATCATCATCATAAACTCGTCTTTCAATAAATTGTGTATTACTTAGAGCCATGAATCTGTAATAAAATTTCGAGAAACATGAAACTTAAAAAAATATTTTACAAAATGTGTCTGTGTGTGTAATGTAACTTACTTATTATTTACATTTTGCAGGTCAATGCTTGCTGTATCAAGTTTATTTACCAATTCATCCAACTTAGTATTTGTTTCTGTGCATTTTGTAACTACTTTCTGAAAAAAAAAGATGTTTTTAATTGCTTTTTCTAATAATCAATCAATATGAAACTAATTATTTAACCAAAAATTGGTGTATAAAAAAAATCTTACATGATGTATATTTTGTAACAAATCTAACAATCTCTTGTCCCCACCAAGGCTCCATTTTGAAGACAGTGACCTCAATGTGTCTATGTCCACTTTCTCCATTGTTTTCTATTATATTATATATATTAATTACACTCTTAATTAGATGAAAGGAAAAGGCTTAGATTAAAACGAGTATAGATTTTATAAGAAAATATACTACACTACCATTTTCGATTTATAAAGAATGTAATGAATTACAATTTATTACATTTGAATTACCCTTTAATTCGAAAAATTTGATGGAAATAGGAAATAGAAACTAGACAAATTTTTATACTGTTTAGGAGTAAATTGTTCCGAATGATTCGTTACTTTTAAAAATCTATAATCTTTTTTTTTTGTAATAAAATGTAATTCGAAGAACCATATTATGTATCTACTTATAAAAATCATGACCTAGAAAATATAAATATACCATTTAATAATAAACAGAAATAAATCACTTCTAAGGAATAAACTATCGTCATGTAAGAGAAAATACGCATATAAAAAATAAGATAGTTATCGTCAAAAAAATCCGTAAACATTGAACAATACAACAACTGACAAGGATTTCCTGTATTTAAAACATTCGTTAAATACGACACTTGCATGCAACATTTAAACGAAGCATCAATATTTAATAAATTACGAGACAAATAGGAATGTCAGCAGATCAGTTGATTAATGTTAAAATACCTAATCATGTAATTCTATCTTTGCAAAGTAGGTACATTTTAGTTCATAAAAAAATAGGCTGTAGTGATGGACTTAGATTAGGTTTACATAGCTTACATTTTTAAATGGTCGTTACATAACTTGTTTATGGGTTGAAAGTTCCATAAATATACTGCATATACCTAATTTTCATAAAAATACTGATAATTTAACTATACACATAAACAAGACGTCCTTTCGGCTTTCACTATTTTTAAATTGTTTGATAACTTTGACAAATGAGTTCTGAGTTCTGAAGTAAGACATCTGTAATCTGGACGGTTTTTGTGACAGAGGACTTTTTATTTAATTGTTTCCGTACACATGACGTTGATGGATCTCTTAGCTTGAAATTGTAAATGTCAAACCAAGTTCTTCTGTGCTCTTGATTGTTTCCTCAATGACCTGTGTTATAGAAAGCTCTTCGTTGAAATTTTTTATCGATAAAAATAAAATATCGAGTAAAAAATTTCTTTAAAATATAGACAAAAAGAATGTATTTATCACGTTCATAGCTAAGACTGATTAGAAAAACAGGTTTTTAATTCAAATCAGGTATCAAGAAAACATAATTTTATTACTATCATATAGATTTATATCAAAAAGAAAGGTCTTATCTTAGTTTTTGGGAAATGGCAATATACTTGCGTGAGTACATATTCGTTTCATTAGCCAGCGTTGCCAGGTACAGGATAGTTTTTTTATGAATTCTTGCTGTCCTACATGAAGAAAAAAGAAAAAAATCGTACGTACGGTTTAAGTCGTACATCTCAGCCCTGGATCAGACGATACTAGAATTTTTTTCCAAAGACGTGAGAACAATTTAAATTACAATTCAAATTATTTTCCTCGAGGTATCTTCGTGAACTTATCGAAAAAATATTAATATTACCACGTCTACCACTTTTTAATAGACCGCTAGGTCTATACCCCCTATGATATTACCCTTTGGGATGGCATTAGAAAATAAAAGTTCGCCATGACGTTCTTTCGTTTGCACTTTGCTATTTTAGCGTGGTTTGTATGCTTTAGTTCATGTTCTTGTACATACTCTGTCGTTCGAGTGCACACTGTACTGACATACTGACATTTGACAATGACATTAACTTGATATCTTAATTTCATAAAATAATTAACTATTTAATATTTATATATATATTAGACAAATTAATACAAACCACAATACGAAACTTTGTATATATAATTTGTTAAGTTATAATATTATATTAAAATCAAATATACCGCTATCATAATGAATAGAGACAAAAGAGAACCTGAATATCCAGTTGAATTAGAATCGCAATTTATTTTACGTTTACCCGAAGAACCAGCGAAAATACTTCGAGACGTTCTTAAGTCTGGAGAAAATCTTAAAAATCGTCTAACCATACAAGTTGATAATGATGTCAGAAGTGGCGAAGTAAGGTTTGATCATTGGCTTATGCACGCTAAAATTCTTGATTTACCCACTATCATAGAATCTATGAAAACCATTGACAATAAAAGCTTTTACAAAACAGCAGATATATGTCAAATTATGATCTGTAAAGAAGAAGGAGACGCCTTTGAAGAAGAGTCTCCATCGAAAACTAAGAAGAAAGATCCTTATAAAGTTGACAAAAAATTTTTGTATCCTCATGGTGTAACTCCACCTACCAAAAACGTTAGAAAACGGCGTTTTAGAAAAACTTTGAAAAAGAAGTATGTAGAAGCACCAGAAATAGAAAAAGAGGTAAAGCGTTTGCTTCGGGCAGACAATGAAGCTGTAGGTGTTACATGGGAAATTATTAAGGAGGATGACGATCATCCAAAACATGAGACAGCTCCCAAACCCAAAGAACGTAAAAAAGCAGCTGTCAAAAAGGAACCTAATCCTAAACAGGAGCCATCAAATGTTGTGGACATCTTTGGTGGTGCTGTAAGTGATAGTGATCCAGAGGAAGACACTATGAATATGGAACTAGAAAGAATGTCTCCATATAGCCATATGTCAGATAATACAATGCTCAGTATGGATCAAAAGTCATTTACAACAGATTTTAAACCACAAACATCAAAACAAAGTGAGCCAGCTCAAATGGAGTACTTTGAGGAAGATTCTCGTGATCGGGATAACATGACTATTAGAATTGAACAGCTTAAAGCTGAGTTAGATGAACTTAAACAAAGAAGACAGAGAACACAGAATGAAATAGCTGGAATGGAAAACCAGGCTCTTAGACAACGGTTCCAAGAAACACTTCATACACTCAATCAAGACATAATGTATAAAGAAATGGAATACCAGGGACTAATAACTTTGCAGACATCTGAGGATATTTAAAAGTTTTGAGACAACTAAGTGACTTTTGGCATAGAAAAAGTAGTCAACACATCTTTAGGTCTCATCTATACTAAAATTTAATCAAATCAGTTCAGTAGCTGAAGCAAGAAAGACTGTAATAATGTATAATTCACACAGTTTTTAGGTTAGAAAATATAGTTAGGTACAATTAATTAGTTTTTAGTACTTATTCTTTATGGTGTAATTTGCAGTTTAATAAACTGGTTTCATTTTTTTTTTCATTTTCATTCAAGTTCTGTTTTTATAAGTCATATTTGTAGGAATGCCAAAATACAGTCCTCTTTCTAAGGTAGGTAAAAATATATGAAAACAAAGACAATAGACAGCACAAACAATATGGGTTTTAAATAGCAACAGAATACAATAAAGCCAATACTGCAAAGTAAACTTTGCCAGTTACTTAGCCAATAAAAAGATGTTTCTTTTCTCTTAAGAGTGCAACTTTCGTACATAATGTGTATTTTTACTATTTAAGATATCAACAATGACTGTTCTTTCCAATTAAAGTTTTCTAGGAGCTATGACTAACCCAAGGTAATTACTATTATGATAACATTGAAATAATCATTGTGGCTAGCCATTATGTCGCATAGGTTTTGTGACTAATGTGCAATAATGCACTTAATGGCTGATAGTATAGCAATCTGAGGTCACGTTTCTTGGTATTCTGATTCAAGCTAGATGAATACTAGGTTTCCTTAGGCTGGTACAAATTAAATTGTTATTTTTATTGAAAACGTCAAAACAGTTTAAGCTTTAGTTTTTGTTTCAATTATATTTTGTAGTAGGTGAATTAGGTACTTGTTCAATCGTTCAATACAATAAAGTATAAACTAAAAAAAAATCAGTGGCGGCACAACCATTAGGTCTCGGCCTCAGATTTCTGAATCTGTTTCTGGTGTTTCATGATCTTTTTAATTCTAATAGGCAAGTAGGTGATCAACCTCCAGTGCCTGACACACGTCGACTTTTTGGGTCTAAGACATGACGGTTTCCTCACGATGTTTTCCTTCCCGTTCGAGCAAATGTTAAATGCGCACATAGTAAGAAAGTCCATTGGTGCACAGCCGGGGATCGAATCTACAACCTCAGGTTTGAGAGTCGCACGCTGAAGCCACTAGGCCAACACTGCTCATAAACTGCAAATAAACTTAAAAACCTATCATTTATAAAATGATAATGGATCAATATTTATTAGAGGTTCATCTTATAACAATTTACATTTTAATATTTTTTAATTATTTTTATTACAGGTAGGTAGTCTTCAAAACGATTCTAACAAGAAACAGTTTAAGAAAAGTGTAAGAAAAAGTTTTTTGGCCGATGGCCTAATTGGTGATGATTTTTAAGCGAAATGTTACATTTCTTTATTTTCTACATAGAGGACGCGAGCACCAGCTTGTTTTAATATATAACGAACATCTGTTCGAAGTGGACAAACTTTTGCCTAACATTTATGAAATAGAGACATGGAGTTTTTTAATTTCATTCAATCGGTAATAAAGTTTAGTAGGTTTTAGATCTAGCCTGAATTGTCTTAAAAATGAACAAGTAATGTTTTTCGTTTGGTCGTTTTTATTAAATAAAAACCATTTTTATATCGAATACCCTAACTGCGATTGAGACTATTTTTGTTTGAAATAAAAAAAGGTGCTAATAAGGGTAGGCTGTTAACGTGGAATTGCAATGGGACCTGTATTTGATTTATTAACATTTACCATTAACTAATAATTAGCTTGTATATAGTTAATTTAAAATTATAGTGATGTCATGTTTATTAGCTTTCTGATAGTAAGTATTTTTTTTTGTAAAATTATGTTGGCAAACATGTTTCGATAATTTAAAACTGTACCGCATAAATGTTAATTGAAAGTAAAAACGCACTTAATTGAAAATAGATGTTATGAAAATATTGGAATAGAATGGAAAGTTAATTAAAAATTATTGAGCGCACTTTCAATTACTTATGAATTCAATAAACGCTCAATATTCTGAAAGTTAATATCCGGTTCTTGCTAAGAATGATAATAATTTTTTTACTAACTAGATATTCGTTACGACTTTGTTCGCGTGGAAATAATATATCCCACGAAAACATTGAACATTGCTTTGATTACGGATAAAAAGTCTTAGCAATGTTTAAAGTTTATGCAAACAGCTGCCATTCAAGGTGTTTTTGAACCTTCATGACTTGGGTGCCTTCAAGAGCCACTTTCCTATAGGTCGGCAACGCATTTGCAAGCCTTTTGGTGTTGCAGGTGTGTATGGGCGGTAAGCACTTATCTATAAGTTACCCCTCTGCACGTTTATCTCATAACAAAATAGCAAGCAATACCACGCGTATTTTTCGATTGCACCGAGGTCACGGATGAAACTGCAGAGGGTTCTACTATCCAAAAACTTTTTTGATGATAACATCTACTAAAGATTAGTGTCATTAGACGTTAAGAATTAAAAATATTATTGGATTATTGGGTAATTTTAATTACAAGTTTTCTTTTAATTTAGTGTTACATGTCGCATAGAAATACAGCGAGTTTGTTTGTTATAAGTACAGCCGTAGAAAATATATGGCGGATGAATTCTATGGTTTCATATGTATTGAACACTTCACTGCCATTCAAAAGAAGTATATATCCTTTCCACAAACCTAGTATAAACCACACTATCTCATTAAATTTAAATAATACCGCGTAACAAAAGCATTGATATTTTACAAAAGACGCTCCACTTCTGTTTTCAAGAGGGGGCTTGGAGTTCGGTTTGTGAGCTGTTCGCACGAGTGTTGCCGATTACACACGATATTGCCCGAAGGGACGAAGAAAGTTTTGGGGTTGCCAGTGATAAGAAATTTATCAAATTTTCATCACTCTCTCCAACTATATCTATTTATATAATTTATGTTAGGTAGAGGTTAATTTCGTAGGTTGGTTCGGGTTTTCAAAAGGCAAGATAATGTGTTACTATGGTGTAAAATATATTATAATAAATAACGAATTTAAATAGGAGATCTCTTTATTTCGCTACATCATGAACACATTTTCAAGTAAAGCAAAATCTTTAAAAAAAATTAAAGTTAAAACCTTTAGTGCAAAACAAAATTCTGCACTGTGGCAACACTGTTCAACTTTTACGTCAGTTTATCGGTAACGTTCGCGGAAGGTGTTCGTGCTGTTTGTCATCTACCCAAACTACTTTTACGTGTCCGCTTAAAAACCGGTTTGAAAGTGCTCCGAGGTGTGGCACCGCATTCAACCGTAAAATACTGTTTTCAAAGTCGAAAACTTGTGAAAAAGTGCTTTAGTGAGTCATTGCCGGCCCAATAACGTTTTTATCAGGTAATCTTATATTTCTTTGTTATCATTTATCGAGGTTTTCGGTTAGTTTGTCCTAGAATACGTTTACTTTCTAAGGACACAATCTTTTTGCAAACTTTGTGTATGGCCACGCGTGGCTTTTATAAAATATAGGTACAAAGAAACATTTGCCTATCAGGCCAATTAACTGCCTACCCACACGAATTCTCAATTCTCAATTTTTTTATAATTATTACATACTTAAAGATAACAAATTATTTGATTTGTTATTAATTAAATATGTCATCCCAATTTGTAGGACCTATTTTTTATAAATGTTATAAAATCATCTTGACTTATGGAAACTTGTTTTTTGTATTTCGTTAAATAACAAGTGAACTTATTGTTTATTTTAATTAACTGTATTAGTGAGACCATTTAAAATAAGATCAGGATTTTTTGGCTTAACAATATAAAATGAAAGTTAGCATGTGTTTCTTTTTCCCAGGCTTTATATAGGTATAATGATTTATTGCGTAATATGAATATATTACAATATTTATAGACTTATATTAGATTGACTTAGAACTTATTTACAGTTATAATTAAATATATTACATATTTGTATTTTTATGGGTAATTAAAGTTGTAATAATAATAATAATAAAAATTAAACACTCCCAAAGACATGGCCAGTCCAAGTCAATAGGAATGTTTTAATTCAATAGACTTTTTTAATGTTTTTCTATTAAAATAAATCGTTTCTAAACTTTTACAAATATAAGTTCATTATTGTGTTATTTTTCGCAATAATTAAATTTAGGTACTCCTATATTATGGCTATTTATTCACATTTAATATTTCTGGGTCGTAAATTCGATAAGAACTTCTGACATAAAGAACGGAAATATAAACCAAATTTGAGAAGACTATCTTATAACCATTATAAGAATTTAAGTTTAAAACAAAAAAAACGCAGAATATTAATTTACGAGTATCAGCCGATCTACGAGGCATAGGCTTCCTTTCAAACCAGAAAACAGGTTTTATGTTGTGCAAATTTAAAATTATATATTAAACGGCCTAAAATTATTGCCTTATATACCTATAACTCGTTTTTAATTTATGTGTTAGAAGTTGAATTTAGGAAAACTTTGAATTTAGTTTTTAATTACCAGCCAAAACCGTTTACGACGACATCGTTTAGAACAACATACCGGTTATATTGACCAAAATCAAAGGTGCCGGCTGAATTCTATTGTATAAGGTTCTTAATAACAAAGTCATCGGCTGTTACGACTGTCGGTTTTTACGACCAAATATGAGTAGTCCCTTCGATGTCGTTGTTGACTGTAATTAGTTTTTTATTCATAAAACCATGTTTCCAAAAAACTAGTGTAATCTGCTGTAGTAACAATTAAAAAAATGTAGTTTTTATGAAACCAAGATATAGTACAAAACGCATATTACTTGACCGGAGCTCGTTATTATCTGGCTTCGCGTTGATATGACGAATAATATGGAATGCTCGTGATCAGAATAATTATGTGTGACTCACGATATTTCCAATTTACGAATAACGGACTGTTAATACAGATATTTAGGTATGAGAAGGATATGTTTTTAGTATGAGGAGGTATGCATAATAGGGAAATCTTTGCGATAAGATTTGTAGTCTAGATG